TTCAATTAGCAAGAGCAGTGTTGGGATACATCTTTTATTTGATGTGCAGACTAGAATAGAATTGTAATAGGGAAAAAATTCCCATACCCATAGGTTAATTGCTAGTAAATGTTGCTCAAGCGATTCTGGATATGTTGATTAATGGCCTCAGTGAGCAGATGAAAAATAGCTAGGCTGCTGGAAAGATCATTAGCTCCTCAGCTATTGTGATCAGCATAGAGGAACAATTACTAACACACAAAATACATTTTGCTGAGTACAGTGGCACACTGAAACAAGTTACAGTGAGGCAGAAACAATCACTGAGTTTTTCTTGCATTCAATTCTATAGAATTTTAGAAGGCAGAGAGAGAGAAATTTTTTTTGTTTTTCTTTTCTAAATCTTTTGGACACATCCTTGACAAATGCATGAAATATTTTATACATAAACACAAATGCTCAGTTCTGCTCGTTAAATCCTATTATTTGAAAGAGGAGAGGGACAGAGTTGCTGTGTGAAAGGTACAATGCTGGCAAGCAGACCATGTTTTACCTTGTAAAGGTATAGCAATATTAAGTGGTGCTTTGCAACAGCACAGAGCTTGAAGTCCAGCAGCTGAGGAAAAGAATCATAAACTTTCAAGCTGCCTCTGGTCTTTCAAAGCTCTGAATATCATAGCCTCCCTCAGAGCATCCAGTAGACCATGGTGCTTGTGGGAATTCATGACAATATCTCTCTTTACCCAGCATAAGTTCAAACCCTGATGGTGCCACAGTGCCTATTGAAGTTTCAGGGAGGAAATCTCTCAGCAGTCAGAAGAGGGGATTTCAAAGCTCTTACAGATCATTCCAGGCCATTTACACTGCTTAAAACCAAGGCAAGGTTCCCAAAGTCAACCTTCAGATAGATGTCCAGCTCCACAAACACAGTCACGAACTACCTTTCTCTAAACAAGTCCTCAGTAAAGAAGGAAAGCATTACCTTCAGGCTTACTCTTCCTAGTAAGTCTTCTACATGCTGGAGCATGGCCCAAAAAAACCTTGAAGCGCTGCACTCAGGAGGGCGGGAGAATAAGCAGCTGGGCTAGGGAAAAAGCTCATAAAAACCCCACCTGCATACATGGCAGTGTTCACTGCTTTGTTTGGGTATGAAGCAGCCTCCAGAAATTATGATAATGTTCCTTGAAATGATGTACCTTTCAGCTGACAGTGTGGTAGGCAGGGCATATTGGTACACAGGTCTGCCTGAACAGAATGATCATTTGCAGCCCTGCTGATGTTTTTCCTCAGTCCTCCCATATCCTTTGGGCCACCTGCCACCCTCAACACCAGGAATTTCACAATGACTTCTGTCCACCTGATCATATCCCTACTGAAAAGTAGTAAAAGGGTGATACAACCTCAAGAATAGTCATCATTGTCTCCTGCACCAACAATTGGTAAGCCCTGGTCTAGGATATAAACACTGTATAAATCCTTTACAAAACATCCCTAGGGCTCAGAGCCCTTTCTTCCTGCCTTTTTTTCTGTGCTAGCCCAGACAAATTTGTGACACCTATCATCAGAGATTCCATGATTCATATTAGCATTCAAATCCCAGGGAGGCATTATAAGACAATCCTGAATGGCAAGAGAAAAAGGGTGGCAAGAAGCTGAAGGCAATATCTGGCTGATAATGAAACAAGTACAATTGTAGCAGACTCCTGGAAAGCTCATCAAGAACAATCCCTTACATGGTTTTAGAAAATACGCAACAGGAAATTACAGCCTGAAGGCACTGTGCTCACTGTCAATTCCCAGCTAAGAAGAGAGAATACAAACCAAAGTAATTGAATAAGACTCCTTGAGCTTTACATGCCAGCTCTGCACTTGCCAAAAGAAGTGGGCAAGCAGAAAAAAAGGGACACAATGTATCACTAATTATCAAACATAAGAGAGAAATAGCCTGATTGTCAGAGAAAGAATTCAGAGAAACATAAAATCATAGTACCTTCTAGGTTGGAAAAGACCTTTAGGACTATTGATTCTAGCCATTAACCCAGTACTGCCAAGTCCACCAATAAACCACGTCCCGAAGTGCCACGTCTACAACTCTTTTAGATATCTCTAGGGATGGTGACTCAATACATTTTCCACAACGTATCTTTGTCTGGAGTGAGGCATTTGGCAATGTATCTGTAATGAAAAGACAGGGGAAATCATCTCATGCTTCTTACATTAACATAGCTTTCGTATTGAGGCTTCTAAGAGGAGACTCAGCCTATGCACAACAAGGACACAAAGCAAGTAAGGCACTTTAGGCTGTTTGTTTTTGTGGAAGAAACATATGGGATAGGTAACTGAGTTGTGCAGGGGTTTGCCACTGTCATAAGGCAAATGAAACCCTTCTTGGCAGTACCCCACCAACAGCTACCCCACTATTGCAGGGTGTTTCTTCTCTATTTTGTAGAAAGCCTAAATAAATTGGGGGGCAGGGGGGGAGGAATGAAGAAAAGTGGAGGCAGAAGGAGTGGGGAAGCCATCTACACCCCCTGTGTGGCCAGGCAGGACCACTGCTTTCCCTCAGATGGGAGGAAGCACTACAGATGCAGCCAAGCCGCTCAGAAGCAGCATTCCAGGCCCTGGTCCTGCTACCCAGGGGGAAGTGATTCCCCCTGGAGCTGCGACCACAGATCCCCTCCTCTGTGTTCTTCCACTCCCAGCACAGTGACAGACAGCCATCAGTACGTGTACAGGTATCCAGCACCTTCTTCTCCCTATGCCCAAGGCTAGACAGGACGTTTAGCCATGGAGTCGGGACGACAAAAACCACTGGGAACTGTGTCAGCCGGGACACTCTAATTAACACAAGCCTTTTGTGCAGTGGTTTTCCATGTTATTACTTTGCTTTCTGGCATTGAAGCTTTAATGTGAATTTCGGACGCAGGCCTGGACGCAGCAGCAAACCCCGACCCGCCCCCGCCCTCCCTCAGCGGCGGCGCAGGGCGGGAACCGCGGGCAGAGGCTGCCCCCTGCCGGCGGGAACCGCGGAACGGCGGGAGCCGGGATTCCCGGGAAAGGGCCGGCACCCCTCCGAAAAGGGCCGGCAGTCCTCTGGAGCGGGCGGCCTGCCCGGCCCAGGGTGGTGCTCCAGCAGAGCCCGGGAGGGGGGGAAATGCGGGGGTGGGGGGTGGGGGAGGGAGGGGCAGAGTGATGGTGGGAGAGGTAAGCGGTTGTCCCCGCGAAAGGATTTTGGCGGGCGATTGTCAAAATAGGCGGACTAAGTGCTAAACTAAGGGAATATTTTGATCGTAGAATCACGGAGTGGTTTGGGTCGGAGGGGAGCTCAGAGCTTATCTAGTTCCAGCTCCCCCCTGCCGTGGAGCAGGGACACTTCCCGCTACAAAGCGTTGTTTAAAGCCACAGCCAGCCTGGCTTTGAACTCTTCCAGGAACGGGGCATCTACAGCTTCCCTGGACAACTTGTTCCAGTGGGTTACTACTACACTATCTTTCCTAATATTTAACCTAAACCTACCATCCGTCAGTTTTAAGCCATTACCCCTACAGTTATGTGTCCTTGTAGGAAGCCCCTCTCCAAATCTCTTGCAGGTCCTCTTTACATACCAGCAGGCTGCTACAAAGTCTCCCAGGAGCTTGCTCTTCTCCAGCCCGAACAATCCCAAATCTCTCAGCCTGCCTCTTGGAGAGGTGCTCCAGCGCTCTGATCACATTTGTGGCCTCCTCTGGACTCAGGTCGATATTCTTCTTACCCTGGGGACCCCAGGGCTACAAGCGGTACTCCAGGGAGGGGGCATCACCAGAGCAGAGTGGGAGAACACCCTCTCTTGACCTGCTGGCCACACTGCAGACCAGGACACAGTTGATTTCCGGGCTGTGAGCGCATGTTTTTGCGTCTTCTTGAGCTTTCTAGTCAACCAACACCCTCAGGTCTCCTCAGGGAGACGTTTTGTCCTTTAGGGAATATAAAGGAAAAAAGCTGGCAAACTGAAGTGTTTAATGAAGACTTCCCTTTTCAGCACCAGTCCCAGTTCTTCCCCAAGTGCTTTTTTAACCCAGAGGACTGAAAATAAAGCCTCAGTTCATCTCCTCCTTCTTCTCCTGCTGTTGCATACAGGCCTTAGAAACCCTCTGCAGGCCTCTAAAGATAGGTATTTTCCTCTGGTATCAGAGCTGACAGTTTAGCCTAATCTTTGTTCCCAGGGCAAACGTGACTTGTATCTGTATAACTGTATGAGGAAACTCTTAAACATCTTCTTTTGGTCTAACACAACAGGAGATAACCTTTCTTTGCCACAAGTTCACTTGTCATCATTTTGAATAAAGATAACTACAGGCTTTGTTTTGTTTTGTTCTCTCCTTACCTACCTTCCCAGTTCTCTCTAACATTAAAATAAAACCTAGGTGGCAGCAGAGAAATATTCTGACTTGACTCACTCAACTAGGATACATACAGTTTTACATCAACCATTCAAGGAATTATAGGGCCAATAGCATGAATGTCATTAGGAAAAAAACAGAGTATTTTAATACCACTAATTTATTTAACATCAGCTTTTAGCTTTACGTCAGTTGCAGCAAGCCTACTTTTTTTTTTTTTTAGAAAGTCCTGTTTTCATTCCCATCTCACTTGTCAGCTGAGGGTTGAAGGGAGGAAGGTCCCAAGGCTGCAGTTACTGAAACACACACGGTCGAGTGGGAGTCGAGTGGGTATTCTTTACTGACAACACGTCAGCCAACAGAGAGAGCAGCAGAAATGAAATCAGATACAAATCAGGAGTTTGAGAGAGAAAGAGGTACGCCTCTTCAGCTTCAACTGTTTGCTCAGTCTTCGTATAAAGGGATGATTGATGATCTGCTGTATGATTTATCCTTTCTTAGAAGGCCTCTTTTTTCTTTCCTGGACTAGAATACTTACTGCTTTTATTTGCCCTGTGTTCCTAAAGTAATAATGTCATATGTTAATGTCCTAGAAATAAAAGTTGAAGATTATTCAACAAAGAATCAGGTAACAGCAAAGGCTTGAGTAGTTCATAAACAAAAATATTTATTTTTCAGTTGTTCATGGTATGTGTCAAATTCCTGGTTACAACAAAAAATTGTAACAAACAGCATCACAGTGACATATAATCAAGCCATAACAGTGCAGTTTATTATAACTGTGTAAACAAAAAGAAGTATTTCTGTAATGGCACTCTTCATGAACCAAATTATGGCATACAGAATCTTAGCAAAAGTCAAAAGAAACATTTAAAGAGAAAAAAACCCCACCTAAACTGAAGCAGTGTTTATGAACCTGGCCAAAAAAATGCCCAATCCACATTTCGTCAGAGAAAAGAGCGTCCTCAGCATTTTTGCTTGGCTTGTTATTAAAGAAATTAAGTCTTCATTTTTTCAAGGCACCAATCCAGCATGTGAAATATTACTTTTATTGAATGATATGAGCAAAGACCAAACATCTCTTAATTATAACCATGTGAATACCTCCTACTGTGACATTATTAAAGGAGACGAGATGATTTGAGAATGTTATTGTCTGTATAGCATGACACCTGTGAAAGACGTTCTGTAGAAATTAAAAGTAAGTTACTGAGAAATAAAATCCAAAGTGCACTGTCAAAGAAACTTTTTTGTGTGTAAATATCAAAAAGTGAAATCTTACTTTTCTGTAACAGAAGTAAACAATTTGATTATAAGACAAGGTACATACTGTAAACTGTAAGATGGACTTTGAATTTGAAGTACACTCGTCTGAAACATATTTTATATATTAGCACCTAAAATGGGATTTAAACAATTTTAATAGATTTCAGCTCACGCATTAGTTATTATTTGCTTGACGGATAAAATTTTTCAGCAACCTTTAGTGTTCTGTGAGATCCTCTTAACCAAAACACACAGGTCTGAATGCCACTACATTTTACACTTGTACTTTTCATACAGGAAGTTTGCATATGTTCCATCTGCAGAGAAAAGGTCCCATAGTAGCAGGAGGTAAAGACAGAGGAAAGAACCTACAGTTATTAAAAAATACCAGAAAACTGAGAGTATTCATATAATTCATAAATATTGAGAGTAATCATATAATTACAAGCTGGTATCTTCAGTTTACAGAAAGCTATAAATTTGCTTGTTTAAAAAAAAAAAAAAGACATCCAACATGTGCTTACTCACATGCTGACATGGAGTGCATGCAAACTATTAAAAAAAAAAAAGTAGAAATTTTACCCTTCAGAAATGCTGCACATACTTCATCCTCAAATAAACTGAGGCCCCCTCAGAAGCAATAGGGACTTAATGTGCATATTGACTCAAGCAACATGTAATTGCTTCCTCTGTAATGAGAAGTGAACAGCAGTATCAAACAGGAAATTTCATTGACTAGTGCTTCATTTCAAACACTGTTAGGTCCAAATCCAGGTTCATTGTCATTAAGCAATAAAACTACCTTAAAAAAAAAAAAAGTTATTTTCTTGGAGGAAGGACATTTTCTTCATAATAGCCAGGATTTACTACATTTCCAGCTGGATCATATCTAGCCACCACAAACGTTGAGCCATCACTAGCAGATGCTTTTCCGACTCCCATCCTTTTTGTATTCTTCCAAACCATTGCTGTGAAGTGACCTGAAGAAAGAGAGAGAAACATATGCATTCACTTTAGGTACTGAATCTGTAACATTCCCTTTACCATGGTAAAGGTGAGGTGCTAGGAAAGAAAAACCAATACAAAGCTGCTTCTTTGTCTAACAGGAAAACAAACTAAGAACATGAAAAAGAATCCTACATTTGCATTTTGTCTTGAAAAACCCTGATCCATACTGGTTCCCTTATACTATTCCCATTTCCATGTCCTATATCCAAATAAGAATACCTAGTTGGAGAACCATGAAAGAAGTAGTTTGGAAAGTATCTGACATAAAATTCAACAAAGATATCATTGTCTTTACTCTCTGCAGTGTGAACAGCAATTCTGAAGGTGACTATTATTCATTTGCTTTAACCATCTCATACTCCCCCATATGTTTGCTTGTGCAACTGTTCAAAAGAACACTGTTTTTGTGGCTTCTTCTGCCTAGTTTAATAACCACCCCTGCATTGTGCTGCTTCATCAGTTGTTCCCTCTATGCATAGACAAATCCCGTGGGAGAAGAACATGATTTTCTTCATCTGAAACAAGCTCAGGCATCTCTCTTGCTTGAACATTATTCCCGGAACAATGTCCTTAAGTTCATTCCGCACCAGATTGGCAATATGTAGCCAACGGCCTCTTCCTCATCTCCAAATTTTAACTGAAGTGATCTCTGTGAGCAGAGTGATATCATTCAGTAGAAGTCACATGTCAATATAAACAACACCACAGTACATTTAGTAAGACACCTATATGATTCCAACTTCTTATTTCCTACAAATTAATTTACCTTAAAAATAAGTTGCCTGTTAAAAAAGGAAAAATAGAGTACTAAAAAAAGTCAATAAATGTTGCTAACTTTCTCATTTTTCAGTTTCCTTTTACCTTCTGCCAGTTTTTAACACAAAACTTTGGGGCAATTCTAATTTTTTTTTTACTTTCTAATATTTTTCTAAGAATAAAGATTTTTTCTTTCTAATGTTTTTCTAAGAAAAAATATCAAACAGTTTCTTAAAGCAATTTCTTAAAATAGCTGTGTTTTTGAAGAGATATTGCCCAGTTTGAACTTACCTGTCCCAGAAGAAAACCCTGGGTTTTGAAAGCTGTAATTTTTTATTTCACTGTACCATCTGTCAGCCACATCCTTTCCTGAAAGACAAAGCAAATATGCTGTGGAATCATGACATTAACACAGAAGTGTAGCTCACTTACAGCCTGGCCAGCAAGATCTTTTAAAAGCTGGCAAGAACTTCTAGAAACATGGAGAAAGAGTCCTTTTACCGAAAAGAGTTTTTGAAATGTAGGTAACATGGTAGTACATACAAGTTACCAGGTCTTTATTGTTTCACAATAGCTGTTGCTACTTTTATCACAGAATCACAGAATAGTAGAGGTTTGAAAAGAACTTTAAGATCACCGAGTCCAACCATTAACTCGGCACTGTTAAGTCTACCACTAAACCAGGTCCTCAAGTGTCAGATTTTCCTCATATCCAATCTAATTCTTCCCTGGCACAACTTGAGGCCTTTTCCTCTCCTCCTGTTGCTTGTTACCTGGGAGAAAAGACTGAGCCTCATTTTGCCACGACCTTCTTTCATGTGGTTGTAGAGAGTGGTAAGCTCTCCCAGGAGCCTTCTTTTCTCCAGGCTAAACAACTCCAGCTCCCTCAGCCGCTCCAGACTCTGCTCCAGACGCTTAACCAGCTCTGGACACACTCCAGCACCTCAATGGCCTTCTTGTAGTGAGGGAACCAAAAGTGAACAGGATTTGGAGTGAGGCCTCACTACTGCAGAGTACAGGGGGATGCTCGCTTCCCTGGTCCTGCTGGCCACACTATTGCTGATACAGGCCAGGATGCCATTGGCCTTCTTGGCCACCTGGACACACTGCTGGCTCATGATCAGCTGGCTGTCAACCAGCACCCCAAGGTGCTTTTCCACCAGCCAACTTTACAGCCACTCTTCCTAATTTATTAATTTAATAAATTACTAATGCTTTTAATTAAGCATTAGTAATTTATTAATTCCAATGCTTTTAATTAAGCACCTCATGCCACCAATTATTTGAGTTCTGCTTGATGCAAACGCAGTCCGTCAGTTTCTCCACTGGAGTACCAGGGAACTTGTGGTCAGCAGAGCTTGGCTCAGAGCCTGGGCAGGCAACCCATGGAACAACTTTAGAACCAGGTAGAGTTCATCCTGTTGAGGAAAGATCTCTGCGGCAAGGTGCTCACCAGGTAGGACAGAATTGACGATTAGATGAGTGCTGTACTATCACCAACAGATCAGGAAACAGGCCCATCCATCAATTCTCATCTGCTGTCAAAACTTTTCAAGGTTGAAGTTAGAAAATCCTCTGTACAAGAGAGAACTGTGTGGCATTGCATTTGGGTCAAGATGGTCCAGCAATCCCTTTAGTCCTCAAAGAAACATTTGGAAATTTTAACACATTGAGTTTGCATTTCTTTTCTGCCCAGAACCATCTGAAACTTTCTGCTTGGAAGGTACGAAGACACATCTCCCTCATCTTGGATGAGTGCTCCTCTCATTACAGCTCTCTTACAGCTCCAGATAAACCAAAGAAAAATGACACTTCTGAAGTCCTCCAGTTTCCCATGTTCTCATCAGCATTGAATACTTCATATTTCTGAGTGCATTCATTTTTGTTGTTCTTATTGTTGTTCTTATTTAGCACTTCAGCCACTGTGAAGATCCATTTTGAGACACACTAGGGTACTCAGGGTACTACAGCCAGAGACCTCTAATATACATGCTGTGTCTGTGTGGAGGTCCATGTGTCTCAACCCATCAGAGGCTTTCACTGATAACAGCTGCATAAGGACCATGACTACATCCAGGGATGTAGCTCAGATCAGAATTTGCAGACGCTATGCAGGCAAAAGTCAAATGTTACTTCTTTTCCACTACTGGTTATTAGGAAATTCTTGTGTCAAACACTGGGCTGGGGGCAGGGGGGTGGTTTTTCTCTAAGCTACACCAATAATGATATTTCTGCTTAGCATTCCAGGATGTATCATCAACACAAGGCCAGTAGATTTCATAGCAAGCTGCCAATGCTTTAAGCCTACCATCACGAAGAATGCTGGTCCCTGGTGGACTGTTGGCTTCAGAACAGCTATGACTCATGCTTTGCTATTTCGCAGCAAAAAAACCCAAAACTTCCCTGAACTTATGATTGAAGCTAAAAGGATGATGCTGCTAGCCTGGCAAGCTGGTTGTCAAAGCTGTCATTGAAAAGAAAATATTGAATGCAATGCCATCTCTTGAGAGATTTCTGGACTGGAAGTACTATGAATTTATATGCTACACTGCTAGTTGGGAATAGTGCTCAGTAGATTCAAATAACATGTTCTTCATAAAAAGGTAGCAAAACCTCTCTTGCTTCTCAGAGTAGAAGTTTTGGGAATAACAACTGGTTTCTTCTTTCCCTCTCTCCCTGTGCCAAACAAACCCTATAGAGCTGTTTTATGGCTAAAGTATGTAACACATATTTATTTGTTTATTTATTACTCACACCAAAGCTAAATGAAGACTGAAAAAAAAGTGCAAGGAGCAATCCTTATGCAATACAAGGGAAAAAGAAAAAGCACATAGTAAAAAAAACAAAGCCTCCAATAAACTACACAGATCATCCTGTCCCACTCCAGACTTGAAGGCTTTGAAGGACTTAGATGTGTTTGCGATAAGCTGGGTAGAACAGAAGTACAGAATGTGTGCCTACCTGCTTTAGCAGCAACTGGCATCATTAGACTCGTCCTTTCAGAAAACTGACCACAATATTTCCACTTAAAAGCATTATGGAATAAATTATGTAGTCCTATTTAGAGTCTGTTCCCATTGCTTTTCAGTGTTTCACTGAGAACAGCTCCTACTGCCTCAAAAGTTCCTCCAAAACAGGGGTTCGTTGCTGTTCAAAATGCTTTTTAATCAGAAGGAAAGAACACAGAAAAGAAATCACTGCCACCCCTCATTCACGATTATAGCAGAAATGATAAAGTTTACTTCTATCAAGAAGCGTGTGGACCTGCCCTACAGCCAGCCCTGCAGCTTCTCTTCTGTTGCGCCACTTGCAGAACCAATCAGTACACTGCTGAGTTTTTTAAATACCCTTCCTGTTTGCATGGCTGTAAACCACACTCATAGTTTCAACACTTTCACTGTGGAAACACAGTAGGACTCCACCTTTCTCCGGGTGCTCCATTAGACTTACTAGATGTTCATTTCAGAACAGGCTGAATCTCACTCTAATGAGTTTCAACAGTACCATGACAGACAACTGGAGTGGAACTGCAGCCTCAGGGATTGGTATGTCCAGGTGCAAGCTACTGGGGAGACCAACAGGGATCCACATTGCAATTCTATTCCTATTACTGAAGAGTGTATATACATATATGTCTGTATATATACACACACACATAAAAATATATAATTACATATTAAACACTATGGAATATATCTATTTTTAAATCAATTACTAAAAATATATATATTTGTACTTATATGTACTATATTAATTTACTTATACATATTCCAGTAGGATATATATTGCAATCAGCAAAAAAGGGGAAGAGGCCACTGGTGCTGTTCATTTTAGTGCTGACTGCATTTATTTGTGCTGCTATGCATATATATGCATGTGTATGCTGTGGGTGTGAGCCTGGAAATATATTCCCAGCCTCACCACTGGGAAGACAATGCTGTGGCAGCCCCACTGCTGCATTCATCTCCTTCTAACACAAAATTTCTCTAAGCCCAGCCTTACTGTTTCTCCTCATACCAAAGGATCCTTAAATCTTCAAGTAATCCCAGTGAGGGAGTTGCTGAAAACATTCTAATAAAATCACATAGGACATATTTATCTGCAAGGATGGGCAGCACCTTGATAGTCTACTTTAAAAATGGATTGTCACAACATTCCTTCTACCAGTCCCAGGGGAAAGAAGGTAGAAGAAGATTCAACTTCACCTAAGAAATAAAGTATCTACCTAGAATGAAGTCATACTAATGCGTTTTGGAACTAATTATCTACTTTCAGCATTCCTCATGCAGGTCCTTACTTTATTTTACTTTATTTAACAGTACTGTATAAGCCTGGTGTAAGACAGGGCTGAGGCAGATGGTGCCTGTACTCACTAGTCCTGATCTGTAGGAGACCCAGGTTTCTCCCATAACTGGTTTGGGTGACAACATACAGTCGATTTCTCTAATAAACTCTCTCAAATCCATAAGCTGCAGAGTTTTCACAGGCAACACAGTACATTCTTCATGACCACACCAGCCATCCCAAACAGAATTTAGATATCCAGTGTTTGCCTTCATCCTCCTGACACATGAGAAATGAGATGAGGCATCCTGAGAAGCCTGACATACTACAGCTGCCAAGGCAGGCTGTGGCCTCTTGCATTACTGGCAGATGACAGCTCACTTATTTGAACATAGACAAAGAGAAGTCTGCCACAGAGCAGTTCCTGCAGGACTGGAGGGAGGAAACAGCTGTCAACTATTTCTTGGATTACAGGGATAAACATATTTCCAGCAACAGCTTTAGGGTATGTAACTCTAAAATCCTGAATACAATTCAAGGTATTCTTGAAGGGGAGAGGAGTCAGGCTAGAAGCCTTTATAGTTCAAAGCCTAAATCTTCTCTGAATCAAGAAATGCATCTTCTGGCATTATTACAGAACTCAGTAAGAGCCAAAATAAACAACAGCATCACTTTTTGAGAGAGAATACTGAGGGTGTTAGAGGTTTATTGAATTTTGCTTTGTCTAGGGAAGAAACCGGAAGACATTGCCTGCCTTTGTTAAGCCCATGAATGGATGCCTTAATCCAAATTTCAGCCTCATTGAGCAGGGTACAAATTAACTATCCAAAGGGAACTATATGAGAAAAAGAGGAAGAATGAACTAGCTCCACAGAGATGAAGACTAAGCCAGAAGAGAAAATAACTTTCTTTGAAGAACTAGCTTTCTCATTCTGGTACTTTGAGTGATCCTGCTTCATTGGAAATGTAGAAGTGTTTTACAGAACAAAAGAGGATATAGTTTAATTTGCTCAATAAGACATTAAATCCTGTAGATAAAAAAAACCAGCAAAACTGCTCGAGACTGGAAAGTTATGTATGGAAACAGTGCATTGAAGAAAACAAATTGAGTCCAGAAAAAGACAGCCGTTATGCAGAAGGATTTGTGTGTTATAATTCCAGCTCTCCAAATGGGAATTCTGTGACTTTAGCCTAGGGGGCAGGAGCACAGGTCATTAATACAAACAAGAAGGAAGAAGTAAGCTCAGTCAGTGAGTCATAGCCACTATGCAAACTTTGCCGTACATCTGTGTTTTCCCATGCTGCTCTGAACCCTTGCCTCACGCTTTTGCAGGGGACAGAATGCCAAATATGAGTAGATCAAATTGTAATTTTCCACCATGGGTTTCTTTTTCAACATGAAAAAGTACCCACTTGGGACTAAAGTTGGCACTTGAGGAGGAACTAAGCAACATCCCTGGGTCTAAAACACACTAAAATTTCCAGGTCCTTCAAACACAGCCTGCAGAAATGAACTTCTGTTTCCTCAAGGCTGTGCTGGAAATTCCAGAGGTAGATTGGAACAAAGAAAACAAGTGGTCACTTTTAATACATCCCACCTGCTGTCCCTGCAGGCTGAGGCATGAGCCCTGCCCACTGGAGGAAGCAAGGAGGGAAGAGCCTGCTGAATCTCTCTCCAAGGGCTCACCACAGGCTGTCAACCTGGCAAAAATGCAGCTCCTGGGGCATCCAAAACAAAGGCTGCCAGTTACATGTCACATTTACAACCAGAAAATATATGGAGTAATTTTGTCTTCAAAGATGAAGGCATAGAAAAGGGCTCAAAGCCTGTTTGCTGACAGAGTGGAAGACACGAACACATACTAACACAGCAACACTGTCACTTTGGTGCCCAGTTCCCTGTTTTTGCCCCCACAAACAGGAACTGCTGTTTAGTATGCAATAGACATTTTTCCACTTTCCGCACCACAGCCGCGGGCAGACCTCTCTTTGGTTGGGACAAACTAAGGACAAAGGTGAAGCACAATGCATTGATGTCTTCCTTCTCTCCTACCATGGACATATAAGTAGCACTAAAGACAGCTCCACAGCAGGGACATACGGAGCAGCCTAGCTGCCAAGTACCACCTCCAAAGGGACATAACACACTACCATAGTCCCTTAACCCCTCTGTGCCCACACGTGCTTCTTGTTCTCTGTACACACAGGCTATTGCAAACCACCATCCTACCCCCAGGGAGCCTGGGTTAGTTTGGGCTGGGCGGTGGTGGATACACTTTCGAAACAGAGGAAACTCCAGCACTCTTGCAACCAGATGCTCTGAGTTCAAAGTACATGAGACAAACAATTTATTTGGTGTCTGTGAGACAACAAGAGAAGAAAACTCACCTGACTGATCATAGGATGCCCATGCTAGGTTTTCTCCACATTTTCCATTAGCAGACTCAGAGCTGTGCTTGAGGACCCTTGTGGTAGCCAGTTCTTCTGCATACCTAGCAAAGGAATCCACACATTGGGTGAGGGACCACAGCTGCAACGAGCAACGAGGAGGAAGAGAAAGAGATGTAAGCAAGGCAATTTGCAAGCAAGAAATAGGAGGCAACAGGGAGAACCATCAGGTCACAAATTTAAAGATCAAGTGAGACAAAGCACTCCTTCCACACCATGTGGCAGAAGTCATTGCCACAGGATGATGCAGACACTGAAGCCCCTGTGGGTTTGAAAAAGAGAAAGACAAATTTACAGCGTGTGTATGTGGGGGAGAATCTTCAGGGCTTGTAAACAACAGCAACAAATAAATGAGGAGATGACCTACTGCTTAGGAAAACCATCATTTCCAGGATAAATCTGTAATTTCCAGGAGAAGATAATGGGGGAAGGAACACCACATTTGTTTTGTCCTGATACTCCTTCCCTAATCATGAATTCCTGGCATCTGCCAGAGAAAGGAAATTTGTCCAGCTGAACATCTTGGCCTAATATAGTACTTCAGTCATTAGGTTCTGATTTTCCTCTGTCCTAAACCTCCCAGCAAAACAAACAAACAAACAAGTATTTAGCTACATCCATTAATTTAGAAATAATGAAAAGTGAGTTGTTGGTCTTCAAAATCCTGAACTGAGGATCTCTAGATGTTTCTTCATGCTGTATATCACCACAGTCCTCTTCAAGGGTTCCCACATCCCAAGCTAGAGGGAAGACTGGAACAAAGTACACATTGCAGATGGATGAAGCTGCCAAGGATGTGAGACAAAGGGTGATGAATACACTCCAGCTCAGGCAGTTGAAAGCATGAGATTTTCATCTGAGATCATCACCCTATGCTTCATTACAGTCAGAGATAAACAGACACCTGCTGAGGGTGATTCATCTCATACTAAAGCAGGGATCCATAGTCAGTTCATCTAACCTGTCACCATTACTGGAACAAAAAATAGTAGAAAACAAACCATTTTCAACAGAGATAGAGAAGCACAGAAAAGTATTCAGAGACACACCAAATACATATCAACAAAGGTAGTATCAGATGCACCTAAAGAAAAGGTGTTCTTCTTTGAATTTAAGAATATGCAAAATCTGTCTCGGCAAATATGAGATTTCTTAAATTTCATGTCTTTTATTCATATCATATTCTGGTTCTTGGTATCAACCAGATTTATCAGTCTCTGAACATGTGTCTTTTAATTCTTTCAAGTTAAGCTACAGACTGCTACCAAATAAAGGTTTCCTATTGTTATTCATCACAGCAGGGCAAGTCAACTGAAACCAGAGAAGACTGTGAGGAATTTCTGAAGGATCTAAAAATACCCAGCAAGGGCAATAGCACACTTAGAGATAAATGTGGAGCAATGCATATTTGATAGAATAATCTGAACTATTCATACAGGCTGACTTGTTCAAACCAAGAGCAGCACTTTGGAGACACAAGAAGTGCTATTGACAAGTCAATGAAATCTTTTCCTCACTGTGAGCCATCCCGTAAAACAGAAACAAAACAACCCTTAGAAGAACAGAAGGAAAGCCCCAGCAGATTACAAAGGTACATGGATGAGTCACTGGCATTCCATCTCTTAGAAATACTGTATCCAGTTATTATGATGTCTCAAAAAAAAAAAAAAAAAAAAAAAAAAAAAAAAAAAAAAAAAAAAAAAAAAACC